TAGGACAGAAATATTGGAGAAAGAAGAAAATTATGAAAAAATATCAAAAATGGATAAAAGTAGTCAAAAAAATCGAAAAAACAGAAAACCTGAAASTAATTTAATATAACTAAACAGGAAGACTAAATGAAATAAAAAAATAGTAAACAGAAAAATACAAAAATGTAATGTGAAAATATGAGGAAACATTAATTGAATTCCATTTTTCTCTTGGAGTTAATTTCGGTGGCAAACAGTCGGAAAAATAATTGTTTCTTGAGCATTTTATGTCTATTTAATGATATTGATATTATGTGTTATTTAATACCACATGTCAAATATTTGATGTTTTAATTTGAAAAAATGTCAATTCCCCAAAAAAAAAATTAATTTTTACTATAGCCAAAAATAGTGACGAGAATTATGATTTTTGGAAATATATTTGATTAACCTACCGGGGATTTTATTTTTCGGATGGATAGCAGATGCCGCACCTGGTGGTGTTGTCAGGTTGGCATTGTTCGTGGAAAGCATGTTTGCAATTGAAAACTGTTATGTTGGTGCACCTGGATGGGTCCTTTTCGAGTACCATGTGATGGCAAGCGCCACACATGAGTTCTTCCGTTACACCAATTCCTGAAAAATGGGAAATACGCTGTAATTCTGGCAAAACTATTAAATTTTTTGGCAAATACCTAACACAATTCAAACATACAGGGATGATCCAAAAGTCTGGAAACGATGTTATTCTGGTGAAACTATCAAATTTTTTGGCAATGGCTATAAAAATGCTATTCAAAAAAAAATTTGAATATTAATTAATTGTTTATACTTATGAGATAAACATAGTAACTTTTTTTTTTAAATGGAAACCTACCACAATTTTTTTTTAGACAACGAGCTTGTTGCAAAAATTGTTGCCATGCAAAATTTTTTTTTGTAAACATCACACTTTTGTTAACAAAATGTTTGACTTACAAGAATTCAAGAATTTTTTTTGAGTAAACTACCAGCTTTTTTTGGAAATAAATTAATAAATGTTTAAAGGTTGTAAAAGAGCAATGCCAAAATATT